AATATAAATAATTGTGTAACGATCGACGTTACAGTTGTACCACATCAGCCAATCAAAACGACTTTCCATCATGCTGCTACTAATACATAATAACTTTACCTATGATGCTAATATAAGTATCTGAGGCTACTAATACATAATAACTTTACCTATGATGCTAATATAAGTATCTGAGGTCCTTTAAGGTCCCATACTTTTTCCCAAATACTTTTTTTTTTTACCTTCTTCAGACGCGTAATGTTACTAAAAATCGTTAAAGATGTTCATTCTTATTGGGAAGGACCATACACAAAATGGAAATTAAGTACGTGGGAGGATTTTTATGCTGACAAATATCCAAATAAGACAAAAGAAGAATCACACGATTCTTTCCGGTGTGACTTAGATGTTTTAATAAGTAAGCTTAAACCGAAGACTGGTGGACATGATAAAGCCTTAGCGTTAAAAGGTGATCTATTAAACCTAAAGGTTAGTATTTTCCATATTCTTTGAATGTGGAATATTAACGAGCATAGTAGTGTGCTACGCCCTGTGTACCTGCCGGGTTGAGGGAAGAAGAGCGTCCAGGCATGCAGTTTCTGCGACGTGCACATATTTTTTTTGCTATGACTTCCTTGATTAAGTTTCTTGAACACATTTTTTTGTTATGAGTTCCTTGATTAAGTTACTTGATGAAGGCCTGTTGATTCCGTACATGGAATTGGACATACTCACATTCTTTTTTTTTTTTGCACTACAGAAACGAAAAAAGGTCCAACAAAAAAGAAAATTCTATTAATAAAAATGACAGTCCAAAAAAAACTAAGCGTGAAATTTCGACAGGTAGTTTCTAGCTTCATTTCTATATTTCCTAATAATGTTTTACTCATATTTGTGTGTGTGTTTTTTTATATTGTATATACAGGCACTTCATTGTCTAGTATTGTTACGAATCCATTGCCAAACTTAAAGTACCTTCAACTAAGACTGGAAAAATCCAATTCAAGTATAAAATCCGTAGAAAGGAGATTTCCCGACAATATTTCATCGTGGGATAATTTTAATTCTAAAGTACAATCATGGAAGCCGGAGTCCACAAAAAACCAACTTTCAGCTCTCGCACGATTACATGTGAGAAGGACATATGGACTGCATCTGAAATCAATATTCATGACATCTTAACTCCTCTGGATAGATCTATAAGTTTTTTTGGATGGCCGCAGTTTACCAAATGTAATTGGAGAACCCGACTTTATAGTGGTCAATAAAAAATATAAGGTATTGATCCCAATAGAATATAAAACTTGTTGGGTCTTAAGAGTACCCTCCAATAAAAAAATAGTTGATCTTTATTTGCGCGAGAAAGATATTAAAGCAGGAAATATTAAGGGCTCCAAAAACGCTTCGGCTTATGATGCCATAAATCAAATCTATGGATATATGTGTGCAAATAAATTACGGTAAGAATTTGGTTTTATATTTAATTCTATGACTAATCTTATATCGGTATATATTACATGATTTATTAATTATGACTAACTTTAAATCGTTTTTTTTATAGCTATGGAATTTTGTCGACGTTTGACCAGACGTTTTTTCTAAAAAGAAGTGTAAAAGAAAATAATGGCTTTTTACAAATATCGGATGCTGTTACTAATGTATCAACAGAGCCTACGTTGCTCAAATCTATCTCATATATAATTTTTCTTTCATCAAATAACCAGTATTCCAAGTTTATTGATAAGCCAATTATGGTTACTAAAGAATTATCATCTGGCACGTCCGAAGAAGAACGAAAGGACATTATAGCATATAAATATAAAGGGCGAAAAATATCTACAAAAGAACCAAATGTTTTGACTCGAAAACGAAGCCATATGCTTCAATCTTTGAACAATAATGTGAAGGTGGGCACGGTATGAAGTAATGGCAGGTGTTGTAAATTTTTTAAGATGTAATTAAATAAACACGTTTAAATAGATTGGCTTTTTTTTAAAATAAGTTTATTATAATATGAAGATTTAATTGTTTAAAATCGCAATAAAATTTTAATGAAATTGTTATTTAAATTTATAAAATTATAAGTATTGGTATTTGAGTTTTATTAAATGCCTAACATAAAATGTTTCATTTGCGTCATTCATAGTTTTTTTTTAATTTATTAAATGTAATGAATTAAATTCTAATATAAATTCTATTAATAATATCAAAATTTATAATAAGTTATTCTATTGTCATTTACATAAATAATAATAGTCGCGAGTAAAGGTTATATCAATTCATTAACTGAAGTAGAAGTAGATTTGCGCGGGTAACACAAACCAAAAAGGAAATCAAAATTTGTAAATAAACTAAGTGCGTAAAAATAGAAGTTTAGGATGGGTTGTGACAAAGGTCGATTTAAACACCTTTTTTTTTCTTATGTCGGGATACCCGAAATTTGTGTTCTCTGATTGGCCATTTCCTTTTTAGAAGTCTATATTACCCGCGCAAATAAGTGGATGTGATGTTGTAGCCTGTTTTAAACAACTCATACAGGGGGATCCTCAAAATTCCGGGTCGGAATACTTTGCTAAAATCTTACATTTTTACGAAAGGGACAAATATCCTATACTTAGTGTAAAATATTAATAATATAGGGCTCTAAGAGGAAATTTTCATAGCAAAGCGCTAATTTAGGCAAAATTTAGTTTCTTACTAGTTAACTTATACTTGATGTTGGAACTAGGGATGATTGAATAAAAGAAGGACAGGAAGCACAGGACAAGTTAGATGAGATGTTAAAGAAAAATACAGCATCCATAGTATACCAAGAGAATGCTGAACTAACTGAAAAAATAGAACAGGCTGAGTTGTTGATTAATAACGGAGCTGTGTGCTTAAATGAATATGACAAATCGGTGTTGAAAATAGCAATATCAAAGTTGTCAAGTGATTATAAAGAGCCAAAGAAACAACAAACCAAAGCCGAATGAATTAAACAAAATTATCCTGATTTTGATATCTTTATAGATGATAATCCTAATATTTGCAGAAGTGTAGCAAAAGACCTTTTTTATTACCAGTGTGAAAGGTGTAAAAAAAAAAATCCACAAGGTCTTTGTAGTAAGTGTCCTCCGAGAGTAATTGCTCCTTATTATCCTGCTGTTGTCGATCAGCATTATGAAGAAGTTGTATTAATTAAAAACGAAGTAAGCAATTTAACCAAGGAATTTTAAATAATTATGAAAAGACAAAGGAAAGAAATAACTTGTGAGTTGTATGTGGGTTCAGACTTCTTGGGGTTCAAGGAGGATTATTTAGAGTTGAAAAAGGATTTAGCCTCCTCGCCCTGACCTGCTAAATTGAAAATAAGAATAGAAGTAAATGGGAGAAACCCCTATTTAGATGATGTAAAGCCTTGTGAAGCAAAACCCTACACTCTCTATGTTGGAGATGAGGGCAAAGGACGAATGTGTGAAAAGCATTATAAAGAAATATCAAAATATAAAGGATTATGGTAAATATGGAAGCAAAAGAATTAAAAGCAAAAATACAAGCATTAATAAGTAAAAACGACAAATATTATAATGAAATAATTAAACCCGTTTGGGATTTTCTTTATAAAAAACAAGGTGAAATAAAAGAATTAGAAACCATTGAACGACTATTAACGAGGTTTCGACGAGGCTTTTTGATTGAGTATGAAAATTTTCTAATTTTTCATACTCAGTCAAAAAGCCTCGTCGAAACCTCGTTAATAGTGCTAGTAAGAAACTAAATTTGCCTAAATTTGCTATGAAAATTTCCTCTTAGAGCCCTATATTATTAATAATTTACACTAAATATAGGATATTTTGTCCCTATCGCAAAAATGTAAGATTTTAGCAAAGTACGTCGAAATAGATGAAAATCCTTTTAAACTTTAGAGGTTTTTTATAACTTTAAGCCAATATTTCTCGATGAATACTTAACTAATTTCAGTAAATTTATTTTTATTTTAATTCTATAAGTTAATATAATTAAAATAAAAAAAATTTTATCGAATTTAGTTAGATAGATAGTCGTTGAGAAATCTTCGCTTAAATTTTGAAAAAAGGTTAAAAATCTTTTGAAAAAATCAAAAAAAAGCCGTAGTAAATTTCTTTTTTTCAACTTTAAGCGGAGATTTCTCAACGATTATCTAACCAAATTGGACGAAAATTTTTTTATTTTAATTCTACGTGTTTATAGAATCGAAATAAAAATAAGTTTATCGTTTATTATTTAAAAAAAAAATTCGTCGCTTCCTTTTTAAAACTTTTAAGCAAAGTTTTCTTGATGAATATCAAACCAAATTCGATTAAAATTTTTTTGTAATCCTATATAATTAAAATTAAAAAAAAATCCATAGAATTTGTTAGATATTCATCGAGAAAACTTCGGTTAAAGTTTTAGTACCAATAACAAAGAAGCAGCGGCAAAATTTTTTTTTAAACTTTAAATAAATATTTATCAGTGACTACATAACCAAATTCGATAATTTTTTATTTCGATTCTACAAACACAGAATTAAAATAAAAGAATTTTCATCGAATTTAATCATGTTTTCACCGAGAAATCTTAATTAAAAGGTAAAAAAGAAATTTATTCTTCTTCTTTTTCTTGGGCTCGAATTTTTTTTAAGCTTTAAACTGAAATTTGCTTGATTTCTATTGACAGCCTATTTATCTATTTACAGTAGTTATTTATTGTGGCAGATTAAAATGAAATCAGATTAAAATGAAATTTTTCTATTTTTTTAGGAAAATTTAAAATTTTTTGGGGGA